TATATATATATATATATATATATATATATATATATAATTTTTCATTTTATTGTATTTTGTAATCCTGACAATACATCGTCACTGAAATCATTTCGAAATATATTGAAATGACAACCTTCTATTATGCAATATCCATAATGATATTTCAAAAATATCACAAATATTAAAAAAACTCCATTCTGTCAGCTACAGCTCTAGTAGTAACCGGTGAACTTCTCCCCTGATTTGAACCTTTCTTAAAAAGGTCTTCAGCTTATCCCTGCAGATGCTTCATTCGGCCTGATTATTAATAGTGCAACTGTTATTGGATGGCGGGCTCGAATGAATGCCTCTTCCAAACAGAGTTTGCTCACTGAATCTGAGGCAGGCTGCCCTGTGCTGCGCACACGCCAATGATTTGACAAAGCAGAATGCCACGAGGACAGCTGGCTCAGACTGTAAGCAGATAGCCAGGAGTGGCCACCGGATGCACCAGCACCTTCATGCAGCGTAGCGTGTGTGGAGGTGCGATGAGTGTGTAGTCAACTGCTCCACAGGGACATCTGCTCAGACTCCTGAGACACACAAATATCTGAATTACTGCCAAACACCGAGACAACTGTAACACTCCCTCACTACTCAAAGTGCGCAGAGAGGAAAACATTTACTGCTGCTGGAATAAAAAGTGTTACTTGGTGTATCACTGCTGCGTCCTTTGCTCCTTTTTTGTAAACATGTTTTGACAACGGTCAACTTTGGAAGCATATTCCCAAAAGCAGGTGCAATCTTTCTGTTGATTTTTTTTATAACATCTTTTTGGGTTCTATCAAATTAACTTGAATGCAGCATAGATTGGTCTGGATATGTAATGGAAGTGTGTGCCAAACATGGACATTTTTGTTGGTCTATCAATTTTATAATGTGTTTTTACACATTTTTATTATTTTTAGCTTTAAATTATGCAGTCTGTTTAGGGGACCAGCTCTCTAGGGGCACCATATCATACATACATACATGCTTAATGTTTCAGTGGAACCTGTATATATATATAGTTTTTACTGTCATGCCTATCAATTTAATCCATCCTAAAACCATCATACAATTGTATTTCTTAAAAACTGTGTGTGTGTGTGTGTGTGTGTGTGTGTGTGTGTTATGTGTGTTTCAATGTCATGTGGACCCTGGACCACAAAACCAGTCATAAGGGTTTTTTAAATGAATAAGTAAGCTTTCCATTGATGTATGGTTTGTTAGGATAGGACAATATTTGGCTGAGATACAACTATTTGAAAATCTGGAACCTGAGGGTGCAAAAAAAATCTAAATATTGAAAAAAAGCTTTTAAAGTTGTCAACGTTAAGTTCTTAGCAATGCATATTACTAATCAAAAATTAAGTTTTGATATACGTGACCCTGGAGCACAAAACCAGTCTTAAGTCACTTGGTTAT